AACTTACGGTCAAGTTAAAATTTTTCAAAAGGAGGTTAAACATCAAGGTCAAAAGATGAAACTTGGTACCAAAGAGCTCTTATAACATGGAATATATGTGTGAAATGTGAAAGCCACAGATAATCATTCAAAAATAGTGTCCAAGGTGAAAGCATTAAATGAGATAAAACTCAAAGGACCTAACTGTTGGTTCCCATCAGAAGTTCATATCACAAGAAGTAAACATAAGAAAGCCCTTGCACTACCTGTTCAAAATTTCTGGTAAAATTTTTTTTTCACATTTTCTGCCTTTGCATCTTTGTTTGAAAGGGCATAAATATAAACAGAATAAAACCTTCTTTGTCTGTCTATGAAATACTGAGACTTGATAATAAAGCTTGTAAAGTCTCATTTGCACATGTAAGGAATTGGTCCTGTGGCCCTTTGTCGCTTTCTGGCCTCCATTCCAGAGAAAAACTCTCGAATGTCCTCCTCTCTTACAACCTAATGAAACAAGTCATTATATTACACAGGTAAATCACAAAATTCATGGAAAGAAGTTTTTTCTCACGTACTGAAACCAATGGTTAAAATTTTCTTTAGGTTTAGTTTAAATACATATTCCAGTAGCTTAATTTTCAATCCAGTTGATTTTGTCTGACATATTCTTTTTCCTTATATGTAATGTTTTAAATTTTTTATTAAATACAAGTCTTAAACATGCACAGGTAGTCTAGCATTCTTGAGGTTATAAGTGAAGACAAATATAATTGATCATTAACAATTACAATCTTACCTTTCCATTTTCAGCAAACTTTTTCAAATAATCTGTTAGCTCTGACTTCAAGTCATTGAAGCCTGGAAAATTATAAGAGGCAATTTGGTTTACCTGTCTGATAACATTTTCCTTCTGTAAGGAAAACAGAAAGAATAGTTTCTCTGTGAATCTATCAAATTTTATCAGCCACTAACCATGAATAACCTCGACTTGTTGTACCCTGTCCATGGAGGATAAAGCCTGGAGCCCCTTGTCATACTGAGAGGTGGAAACAGCCTTGTCCCTGCCTCGCTCTTCATATTTATGTACAGTATCTGATTCGTCAATCAGAAATCCAAGGGATTTTTCTTTGTACATTGCCTATCAAAGATGACAGAATATGTAATGTAAGTATGATAAATTTATCTTCTTTCACATAGTTTCCATTTGCTTTTCACAACCTCCGAATTCATACATCATTAATCTAGTATAAAACATCAAAAATGTCTAGAAATGCTGCTTTCATACACTAAAACATTTCTTCCATCAAATTAAAAAGATGAATTAATGAATAGGCTTCAGTAAAACTGAGGTATTTGATTTGAATAAAAAAATATTTACCACACAATCTGCACATTTACAAAGCTTTTTCCTCCAACCATCCTGCCAAAATGTTCCGCAGTCCTTAAAAGTTACATCTCTTGTCTGTATATCCTTCAGGAGACAGTGGCTGTCATTTTGTGTGCTTTTACTTGTTCCCTGAAAAATCATGTCAACGCTGTTTCATAAATAAAAAATCCCTTATAATTTTCTCGCAAAATAAGTTACACATATTATTAGTATTTTGTATAATATTTTACAGCACTATTACTTCAAGAAAAGGTCTACCAGTTGTTTTTGATGTTTAAGTATGTAAAATGCTATGTGTTTACCTGATCACAGCTAGTATCTGCCAGGTTTTCTTTTTTGTTTGGAGAAGTTTCTTCCACATTGACCTCTGCAGATGTATCCCCTGTCACCAAACACTTTGTATCTGAAAATGATCATAAAGTATACTGGTCATTTAACTCATTATAAAGGAATAATGTCTGTTTTATCACAGGCTTTCATTTCAGTTTGTTCTGAAAATCATTTTTTAACAATGTTGTCTCTTCTAATCTTTTTGAAGTACCATATAATTCCTTCAAACTGTTTTTGATGACTAGTAGCAAAGGCATTTAATTTTTTTAAAGACATATTATATATTTAATGACTAAGGAAGTCAGACAAGTTCTCTTCCAAAAAATAATTTCATACAATCAAAACTATTTATCTACAAATATCCACAAATTGCAACATTCTTTTACTCCCAAAGATTCCTCATCAGAAACTACATTTTTACTGACATAGAATTTTAACTCTGTTGCGAAAATTTGCAGTCAGAGATAGCTTCCAAACTGAAGAATTGTAAATTAAAAATGTAGCAATAAATTGTTTATCTTTGTTAAAAAATGATTTTTTATGATAAGGCTTTATCTAAAACGTACCTAGACTCTGTACAGAATAAGCCCACAGGAAGTCGTGTTTCTTCATACAATCTGCACACACTACCTCAGTGTAACTCTCACTGGAAGGCAGAGTCTCAACACCCAAATGCTGTCAACATTCAAAGAAAAACATTCATTTGGTGCTAGAAAATTCTATTTTTATACATATTACCAGTACTTTATGTTTTAAATTTAATGTTTAAGTAAACAAACTTCTGCTGAGACATACAAAACCACATGCATCTATTTGTATTTTTTTTTCAATTTCAATTTCATTGTGACTGTATATATATGGATCCATGTTTAGTACATGTTTGAATCTACATTGTATTTATAAGGACAACGTTAGTGCTTCTTCAATTTCTTTTTTTAATTTCCCATTTTTGATATTGAATAATGCCTCTTGATGCCCTTATCAAGAAGAATGACCTTTGATTTGAGTACATCTGAATCTTCATATCTAACAAAGATTGCTACTAAGTTTAGTTGACGTTAGCCCATCAATGTTTCTGGAGAAATTGTCAGAAATATGAAAATTTACCCTATGGGCAAACTTTGATCAGGAAATTTCAACTGAATTTTGGTTCAGATGGGCTGGAAAGTGCACTACAAGAGTGTTATTATGCAGTGATGGGGAATGAAATCAAAGTATCAGAACAATCTTTCAATAAAATTTCTAAACCATTACTTACTCTTCCGTGATACCAGTCTTCACAAATCACACACTGAATCATCTCATCCTCAATCTGAAACAATATTGGGGTTCAACAAGACAATGCAGTAGCCTGGACAGTTAAATCATTGGAAACAGTGTACAACTAGATGCTGTCATGAGACAGTAATACCCGCACTAAGGTGTTTGCCTCTAAATGCACACTTCTTCATATTGGGCTTTACCAAGGGAAAAGTCAGTATAATTCAATAATTTACATAATACATGTATTCATCAAATTGAGCATAATATGCTCAGGTGACCATGTAGCTGCAGATCTGCAGCGTTATGGTTTTATATATTTGACTTTGACCATAACGCTACAGATCCCCATATGCAAAAAAAGGTGCAATTTACGGCGCAATATTTTTTTGCGCACTTCTGGGAAGAATTTCTCCACTTTCTAGCATTGGTCAATCTACTACCTTTCACTCCCTAATTCTAGACACATTCTGTCGCCAATATGTATATTTTATCCACCTCCCAGCCATTTAATGATTTATAGTCATCTCTACAGGCAAAAAACTCGCTTGATGTGAATTTTCAGCAATCTAACAAATAATTTTAATCAAGCGAGTTTATCACGTGTAGAGACGACTATAAAAGGATTGGAGATGGATAAAATATACAGATTAGTTAAACAATGTGCCTAGAATTAGGGAGTGAAAGGTAGTAAATTAACCGATGCTGGAAAGTGGAGAAATTCTCACCAGAAGTGCGCAAAACATATTGCGCCGTAAATTGCACCTTTTTTGCATATGGGGATCTGTAGCTTTATGGTCAAAGACTAATACATGTATATAAAACCATAACGCTACAGATCTGCAGCTAGTGACCATGTGACCCATGGGACTCCATCTTATTGGTATTTCATATTCATAATTGATTACCAGTCGGAAATTAAACAACAGAATTAAATTAATGATGTAAATTAGGTTTGATAAAGGGGGAGGGGGGGTGTATAAATTTTTGGCACATACTGTATAAGTGGAAATTTTAGCGAAACGCAAATTTAGCGATTTCTACCTAAAATCTGGTATTTTATTTTTAGCGAGAAGTAATTTTAGCAATTTTAAAATGCTAATTCAAGAAGCCTTTACAAATGATAAGCAATTAATTTTCAGTGATATTCAATTTTAGCGATGTCAGCACCCTCGCTAATAATGCCAAAATTAAATCCTCGCTAAAAATTCTACTTGTACGGTAATTGGAACTTTTTAAATCTATTTTCTAATATAGATTAACAAAAAATAATATTATTCAAATTAGTGTAAAGCGTTTTTGATGAATTTTTCAAAATGTGCAAAGTTTATTTGTATTTGATTAGGCAGAAACTTCTTGAAAGCTGCCATATACACAATCAATTTAGTCATCCCCCACCCCTCTCCCATCAACACACACACACAAACACACCTTATTTGCCTGTTTTTGGAAATAGGCCTAGATGGCAAAGTTAAAATAAAACATCTTTTGTAAATGATAATTTTCAATTTGTTCTTGCACTATACATGTATCTGAACACCTGCATCACATTGGGCTTGCGTCACGTTCCCAACTTAAGTACTAGTTTTACCACTGGCATTATCATTTTAGATTTCACTGCACGTGCAGTAGGCTACTAGTGTGCATCATTGCATAGGCCTATATGTCAGTAGGAATTATTTCATTTTGTGCTTTAACTGGATTATATTTCATGAAGATGACAAGGCCTAATTAATGACAATCGGTAAGTACAAGTTTTGGTATAGATTTGGGTAAAATAGTCTGAAATGCAAACGGTTAGGTTCAAGTTTAAAGGATCAAAGGTCATCCGATGCTACAATAGACGAATTTCACATTCTGAAGAGTTATCCCCCGTTATCAACGTTACATTCAGTTACAAGATCCAGAGTTTTTTTTCTGGGAGGGGGGGGGGGGGGGGGGGAGGGCCAGACCAGAATTTCCTGAGAAGCAAAAAAAAAAGAAGTTATGGTTGGGTCTGTTTTCTAGGGTGGAGGGACACTTAGGGCATTCAAAGTCATTTTTACTTCCTCCAGTATAATTATTATAGTCCTGCAAATTCCAGGGGGGAGGGGGGGGGTTGAGGGGGCGATCTCCCAATCCACTTCCCTGTCCCTGTAATGACAAATGATCATGTGACTCCTAAATAGTAGGAAACTTTTTCCATTTGACTATACATAATTTTGTTACTTGTGTTATTATGTTATGTAAATTTAATGGTATAAATGTTATGAACCCCTGGAGGTCATCCCCACTCTCCTAATGAGCTGGAAATGTTCACAATATGACTGCATTAAATTAAATAAAAGTGCATCAATGATAAGATTACTTGACATTTTATTCATGAATTTGTGTCAACCTGTCTTCCTAGAATTAGGAAATCATTCAGAGATGGACCACATTAAACTCTTTGTATAAACATTTTTTTTTAAATGTAAAAACAAGTAGTAGTTTGCATACATGAACAAACAGGGGTCTGGGAAGGGATGAGGGGAAGGATCGAGTTAATATTTCTTTACGCCTTAATGGTTGAAAACTCCTAAAATGAATGTTGACCTCAAATCTAATTTGTCCTCATTATTTTTCAAGTGGTGGTGTCTCCATATGAGTGAAAAATCCCTGAGAGGGATGTTTAACAACAAACAAAATGACATAAAAACACAATATTGATTTGCGTTAAGAAATATGCAGGGGATTTTTTCCTTCATAAATCTTCTTCTCAAGAACAGCAAGGGCATTATTGTCCCCCATTTTGGGGAAAGGGAGGGGACATTAAATCCAATTTGTCTGTCAGTCTGTCCATCTTATTGACAGCTAGTATGTGCATCTGTCACAATAAATTTAACCTTGGTCATAACTTTTGAATAATAAGAGATAGTGCTTTCATATTTCACATGTACATTACCACAAAACTTTCTAAATATACTTTGACTTTTTTTAACCCAAGTGAGACCTTGACCTTAAAGTTTTACCTACTTTCCAAAAAAAAAAAAATTAATTGATCATTTTGAAAGAGAAAAGAAAGGGCATTCAAATTATACATGTTTATTACATGTGAAAAGACTTTTCTAAATATATCATGACTTTTGACTCTGTGACCTTGACCTAGAAGTTTAACCTACTTTTCAAAAATATTATATTGTTTATATAACTTTTGATTCAAAAGAGATAGGAATTTCATATTTGACATGTACAACAAAATGTTTCAGAGCATGCTATGATTTTTCCCCTTTGACCCAGTTTTCAAAAATTGATATATGATAGGGGTGCATATTTGACACACAATCTGCCATAAATCATAGCATCCCATTCACTAAAACACAGAAAGCAGAGGACCACAATTCTTTGAATTTGCTTGTATAATCTTGATATATGGAAACATCCTCATATAATGTAGTATAATCTTGATATATGGAAACATCCTCATATAATGTAGATTCAAGTTTTTTATGCCACACCATGATTAGGAATGCATGTATAGTTTTGTCATGTCCATCCTCCACCCTTCCATCTGTCTTTCCATTGGGCTCAAAGAAACTTTCTAGATATTTTTATCAAAGTTCATACGTTGATGCATACTGATGTAAATATCCAACTGCAGCAATATTTTTTGACTTTGACCTTTCCTTTGACCTTCACTTAACTTTTCTTTAAATTAGTGTTTAGCTTTATTTTAAAGAAACCCTTCAAGTTGTGTAATGAAACTTCACATGATGATACATACTGATGTAAGCTTTACAATGCTTCACTCTTTTTTACCTTGACCTTTCCTGTGACCTTGACTTCACTTTTCTAAAATTAATGTCTAGATCAGTTTTGAATAAACAATTCAAGATATATTTATCAAACTCCATATGCTGATACATACTGCTGAGAGCTATTAATACATCAACTTATTTTGACCTTGAATTTTCCTTTGACCTCGACCTCACTTTTTAAAATATGTGTTTATCTAGGTTTTAAATAAACCATTAATTATAGTTTTATCAAATTTCATATGCTAATAGTAAATTCATACTGATGTAAGCTTTTCAACTGCAACAACATTTTGGCCCCAACCTTTCCTTTGACCTCTCTTTTTTTAGAAAAAGTGTTCAGCTCAGTTTCATTAAATCATTCAAGATATTTTTATCAAACATAATATGCTGATATGTATTAATGAAGCTACTCAACTGCATCAAAACTTCAGCTTGCACATTCCTGTGACCTTGACCTCCATCCTTTTTAATTTGTATTTCGCTTAGTTTTAAAGAAATGATTTAAGACATTTTTAAAACATCATTTTTCGACCCCCATTAGTCCCCCCGGGGCAAAATCAAAATTCTGAAACCCTGCTGTACATCTACATGACACTATCAACCATCTCCCAAAAGATGATTAGGCTACTGTGTAAAATGTAAGAGGAGTTCAGGGAAGACGGGGCTTTTTGCATAAAAAACATCATTTTACGACCCCCATTTGACCCCCCGGGGCAAATTCTAGATTCCGAAACCTTACTGCACATCTACATGACACCACCAACCATCTCCCAAAAGATGATTAGGCTACTGTGTAAAATGTAAGAGGAGTTCAGGGAAGACAGGGCTTTTTGCATAAAAAACGTTATTTTTCGACCCCCATTTGACCCCCCAGGGCAAAATCAAAATTCCAAAACTTTACTGCACATCTACATGACACCACAAACCATCTCCCAAAAGATGATTAGGCTACTGTGTAAAATGTAAGAGGAGTTCAGGGAAGACGGGGCTTTTTGCATAAAAAACGTCATTTTTCGACCCCCATTTGACCCCCCGGGGCAAAATCAAAATTCCGAAACCTTACTGCACATCTACATGACACCACCAACCATCTCCCAAAAGATGATTAGGCTACTGTGTAAAATGTAAGAGGAGTTCAGGGAAGAAAAGTGTGACAGACGGACGGACGGACGGATGGACGGACATGAGTAACAACAATATACCCGAACTTTCTTTAGAAAGTGCGGGTATAACAAGGAACATAAGTGTACAGGATATGCTGCCTGTGATGCATGCTAAGAATCTTACATAACCTTTAAACCAAACTCCATGAACATTACTGGACGGTAATGAAATACAAATTGTAAATTACTTATGTCATTATTTTCTTATGTTAATAAAACTCCAGTCATTTTCTATGACAAGTTATCATTTCAGGGATTCACACAGTGTGAAGCTGCCTACTTAATAATATTCAGTGTATATAACTTATAAAAAGAAATAGAAGGAAAGAAATAACAGTCTTTGAATTCATCTGATGAATGGCCATCTCATCTTCTTAGCATTAGGATCAGACTTATTAGCATTTTTCAACAGTAAATGACAAATAATGGGAAAGTGTATTATATTTACAATTTGTGCAATTTTTTTTTATGAAATCCATTGGAAATCTACAATATACAATTCCCTATAAAACACACAAAACCTTGTCCAATATAATATATATAGTCAGATTATAAAACCTTGTTCAATATAAGATCAGCTTACAAAACCACATCCAATATACAGTCAGAAAACCTTGTCCAATATAGAGTTAGCTTAGAAAACCTTGTCCAATGTATAGTCAGCTTACAAAACCTTGTCTAATATATAGTACAGTGAAACTTCTCCAAACCGGCCCCCCTGGAAACCGGTTCTCCCTGAACATCGGCCGAATTTATAAGTCCCGGCAAAATTCTTAACATTTCTTTACACATAAACTCTCATAAAACCGGCCACCCCTGAAAACCGGACACCGGCCACTTTTCCAAGAACAAAAGTTAAGAAACATAAGAAATTTCCCCTCATCATACCGGCCACTTTTGATTGCAAGAAATATAACTGTCATTAAATTGGCCAGAGGGGTAATAATGACCGGCCGGAGGGGTGAAAAATAGCCTACCCACCAGAATTCAGAGGTGTGAAAAACTGAAATGGCCTCGTTGGGTTTTCTATTGTTTAACAATCTTGAAGGGGTAGTCATCTTGCCAGACTACGTAAATGGCCAGTCTAAGTTGAGAACATATGATAAAGCATCAATTAAACTTGAATTCATAAAATATCAAGCAACTAGTGAGTTTAAATCACAGAATGAATCAACAAATTATCGCACGCCATATTGCATCATCTTTTTAAATACACATAAGCGGCCTTAGAATTGGACACTGTTAAAACATGCAAAGAAAGAAAATCAAATAAAATGTTTATCAAAATATAAATTTCATAAATAAAATAACAGAAGTTTTGCTCAGAAATGTTTTAATTATTTACTTTTCACTGAAGTAAAAACAATTTTTTTAATGACGTAAGCGATAGACAGATATGGCAATGTCTTACAGGGTCTGGTTTATTCACAGGCACCTGAATTTTTATCAATAAGTCGCTAAATAAGCCAAATATCGAAAAATTCTACCCCCTCTATATGTGTATTTATATATAGAGGGGGTAGAATTTTTCGATATTTGGCTTATTTAGCGACTTATTGATAAAAATTCAGGTGCCTGTGGTTTATTTCTCGCACAGTTTGATAAAAGTAACTTTCCATGTTCTTTCTGTTCTTATTTTGATTTTTTTTTATTTTTGTAAAAATCAGCATGTATGTCGAATTTATCCTCACTAATAATAATTTACATTTTTTAAAAGACCTTTAGCATACATTACGTAATTAATAAATGTTGACAGATAATCGTAACAGACACCAATTATATATTTTTCCTAGCATCCATCACATAGTTCTGCAATTCTTCAGTCTATTAGATTCTCAGGAAACCGGCCACCCCTCTAGTCCAGCCATTTTAATCAGTCCGGCAGCTGGACAGTTTAGAGAAGTTTTACTGTATAGAGAATATTACATACTAAAATCCGTGAAGGTTCGAGGGCTGATATGGGGCCCGAGGGCTGATGTGACATACATGTACATGTATGATATGGATTTTAGTATGTTGTATTCTGTTTATCATATATTTAATTACTTAATATACATGAGTTCAAATATGTTCATTGAAGAACGTTTCTTGCCTATTTATGACCTTTTTCTTTAAAATCTAATAGAGCTAATTTTAGGCACTGTTAGGTAACTGAAAAAAATTAAGACCACGAATGTCATTAAAGAATTATTTTATATGAATATTTAAATAAATAAAGTAAATTAAGCTTTAAACTTTATACAAACATTACTTCCAGTTTGATATAGATTTTCTGCCCGCCAGTCAGATACGTGATATGAATTTTTTGGACCAGTCCTTGATATGGGGTATTGTGACGTCACCTGTATTGCACCATGCAGAATCGCCTTATCGGTGTATTTAGTACTAAGTATATTTTAAAAGCTTTTAAATACCTCATCTTCTGGGTCAGGATATGGTCGATGACAAGTACAGTAAAGTCCCTTAAAGTTCTGATTGTAAACGTTCTGTGAATTTGCAGCATCTTTCTCCTACAGTCAAAAAAATAAATGCACTCTTTACTTGGAGTGTTACATATATGTTTTGTATGGATGTTTTGCTAGCATTTGAGATAAGAATCCTTCTTACTTTTTTCCTGCTGCAAGTTATTACTTATTTTATTTTGTGTATATGTAAAATAATTTTTGGGTCTCAAAAACTAGTTATTGCCAAAAATTTCAAAATGACAAATTAAGAATTAAGTTGTTAGGATAAAAGATTGGTTTTCAGTATTCATTCGAAATGAGAATTCAAGTCACCTGGAATAAACACAACTTACAGAATACAACTTGCAACCTGTTCCTGGAAATTTACTGTTTCCACAATCACAGCGGAAATTCCTGGAAATAAGATTTAAAATTATTCACAAACTACATGTACATGAACAGCTTATTATCAAAATATTCATGGTGGAGATAAGCATGATAAGCAGGCTTTTTGTTTTGTTTTTATTACTTTTTTTCTTCTTTTTTTCGCAATTTGGGGATAGCAACCTAGAGGTATAATCAATGTCTACTGAAAATAATGACCAAGAAACAAATCAAGGACTAACCTAGACATAAGACTTAGGTAAAATTCTATTCACCCTCAAACTTCATGCACCTACGATTGAGATTTTTTAAAATACCCTTTTATACCAGTTGATTAAATCTATTTTTTATGCATTAAAATGATACTATAAATTCTTTTGGCAACTGAATTAGCATTATTTTGGTTAAATTTTACAGTTACATTGTACAGTGCATCCCTCCTGCTAACTTCAACACATCAAGTTTTTATTAATTTGCAATAATCACATGATAATTAAATAGAAGGTTTTTGCTTTTTTGGTCTGCCAATTTTTGCAACAATTTTCTTATATATACAAATATTTTTGTAAAATACAAACTCTTAAAACACCTTTAATCTTATCTTATCATTTATGAGTGGTTTTACAAATTTGAAAAATGATCCATTCCTTTGCTCCAGCATTTTTTGTAAACTCTATTAGCATGAAATATGCAAATTTTTAAGCATCTGCACATGTTGGTACTCCCCATTTTTTGTATTGCTTTCCTATTCCTATTTATTCCCATTTAGGGGTTCTACCAGACTGATGAAGCAAAAATGCAAAGAATTTACAGAGTTCTTGAAATCTTTTTTCTGCTGTCAGTCATTTGGACTGACTGCTATGTAATGTTTGTCAGTCCAGGTTGAATTCTCGTTGGGGTGGATTTTCTTTATAAGTTTTTAACCTAGTTCGGTTTTCTCACCTAGCTTACCCTTAGCACTGTCAACAAACTTGTTTATCAATCATAATTTAATTGGCACTTGCGTTCATTGAAGAAGCCATACAGAAAAGCTTTTAACAGATTACTATTGGTCAGTTATAGGTAAGAAGATGGGCGCATTTGGCGTGTGATCTGCAGGAATCATTTGTACAAAACATTTATGGTTTAAATGTCCATGATTTGGTTGGCTAAACATAGCTGGTCAGATTTTACAAACACGTCCATAGGTGGGTTTTTTTTTTTTTCATTTTATAGTTTGAAAGACTTTGTGAGATTGTAACATTTATGTCCGTTTTTCAAGGGGATACTATAACATACTAATGTTTCACAAAAAATAAACACCAAAAATATTTAATGCACATATGCATGATACGTGTACAAGTACATGTACATTATAGAATAGAAGACTGGAATTGATTTTGCTCGAGAACCAAACTGAACCAAAATTTAATTCAAAATTTTAATACATCAGTACATAAAACGAAACTGACAAAATAAATGGTTGTGTGCATGAAAAAAAAAAATAACGCTCCATGCAAGGCTCGAACCAAAAACTTTCTGCTTCTAGTGCACAGAACAGGTAGCCCAACTTACTGAGCTATCACGGCTACACGTATACAAATGATTTTAAAAGGACAAAGACGCACCACATTAATACATTTGGATTTTTGGGAAAAAGTTCATTTTCCATGGTCTCTGGGTCTTCTCTCCATTTTTTAAAAATGTGTATTCGTTTCTTTGAATTAAAATAAACACAAATAATGTTTAAAAATCATGGAGAGAAGACCCAGAGATAGAAAATTTTTAGAAAAACGTGTTTAAAAATGTACCATTTGGTACCAAATGTCTGTTCTGGACAATTTTTAAGTTATTTTTTAGCAAATCAAAGCTCAATTTCGGGAAAATATTTTCCTTTCCTGTTGCACAGGAACCCAGTAAATTAAAACAAGAGGCCCATGGGCCACATCGCTCACCTGAGAAGCTTTGACCATTCTGTTCTTTACCAGATTTCACCCTTGTTATACATAATGCATCCCCACCCTACCCCACTGATCATAATTTAGACATTTTGAAATCTACACTACCCCATGATCCTTCCATGGGCACATATGTTTCAGCTTTTTTGGCCCAGTGGTTCCTGAGAAGAAGATTTTCAAAGATTTTTCCTATATATTTCTATGTAAAACTTTGATTCCCTATAATGGCCCCGCCCTTCCCCCGGGGGTCATGATTCCTACAATTTAGAATTTACACTACCCCAGAATGCTTCCACATAAGCTTCACTTTTTCTGGCCCAGTGGTTCTTGACAAGAAGATTTTCAAAGATTTTTCCTATATATTTCTATGTAAAACTTTGATACCCCATTGTGGCCCCGCCCTTCCCCTGGGGGTCATGATTTGAACAATTTAGAATCTACACTATACCAGGATGCTTCCACATAAGTTTCAGCTTTTCTGGCCCAGTGGTTCTTGAGAAGAAGATTTTCAAAGATTTTTCCTATGTATTTCTATATAAAACTTTGATTCCCCATTGTGGCCCCGCCCTTCCCCTGGGGGTCATGATTTGAACAATTTAGAATCTACACTACCCCAGGATGCTTCCATATAAGTTTCAGCTTTACTGGCCCAGTGGTTCTTGAGAAGATTTTTTAATGACCCCACCCTATTTTTGTTTTTTCTTGATTATCTCCCCTTGCAAGGGGATATGTCCCTTCATTTTAACAATTTAAATTCCCCTTTACCAAAGGATGCTTTGTACCAAGTTTGGTCAAAATTGGCCCAGTGGTTCTTGAGAAGAAGTCGAAAATGTGAAAAGTTTACGGACGGACAGACAGACGGACGGACAACGGACAAAATGTGATCAGAAAAGCTCACTTGAGCCTTCGGCTCAGGTGAGCTAAAAATGTTAAAATTTCATGTGACATGTCGATAAAATTTTCACTTTTCAATTACGCCCAGATTCCTGCCGAATGCCAATCAAAAGCGCCCTCATTCTTTGTATGAAATTTAGTCAGATTTTCGCAAGTTGCTCTGTCAACATCTACCGGTCATTTGGACTGACACAGAACCTTAAGTAATTGGTCCTGAGTTGTTTTTATCGGTCTTGCCGACAAGACCAAAAGATTTCAAGAACTCTGAATCTAGTTCAAACAGACAACAAAAAATAGCAATGGGTAACCTTAGACTGATTTACTTTTTTCACCTAAAAGGCTGCCTTTCGTTGGAGATATTGTGAAAATCAAAAACTTTCAGATATACCTTTTTGTATATAATTCAAATAGCTCATGCCCCTCGTGGCATTCAAGACTGCAAGCCAAACACACTCCTGCTGGACTTGCTGGTGCACAAGTAGCACAGGCGTACAAAGCCTGTCGGGATACATAACCCTTAAATGAAAGCAAACCAGAAAGTTATTTATAGTTTATAATGAAATGAATGATAATAGTCGACAATCTTCTCAAAGCAATCTGAAAAATGAATTCTCATTTAACTGTTTAACTCTAATAATACTAAACAGTAAACATATAAAAAGTATTAAATATGCATGACTAGCAACTCTAAACAACTGCATATTTGTTGTCTAAGACATGAAATAATTTTTTTTTCACAAAAGTTCATGAAACGAAACGTCAGCAGAATTTCAAACACAATAGACCCTATCAAGGTTATTGGCCGCCATCTTGGACTGGGGGCAAACATTGGGGGCTGACGTCATAATAAACAATGGCCGAATCGAGCTCCGCAGCTGACGATGCAGCGAATATAATCGCCGCGTATAATTTACCTGCGTCGTAACAAGTGTACCTAGGTGTGCAGAAGAGATCCCAAGGTAATATTTTTTGACCATAAACAAGTATTTTATCTTTGATTTACACTTTAATGACGTAAGTTGCATATTTACTCAAGGTTGTCAAAACCACGTGGCCGAAGGAAACGCTTCCTGTACTTAAGAGGTCGGTCATGTTTTGCATTGCCCTGGCTATATGCGGCATATTTCAGTACTGTAATTTTTGTGGTCTTAGGTGGAGATGATTTGGATTCTAGGCAATTTTTTTCCGAAGGCCTGAGACAAAATTTCAATTTTTTATAGAGCTTTGAAATCGGCCAAAGGGGGGTGAGATATCGAAAAAATATAATACATCGGTATAAGATGAGTTCTAATGAACAATATCCAAGTTTGAACATTATTTTTAATTATTATAATTAATATAATATAAATAAATTATATTTTGTATGTTATATATATAAATTAAGTGTCATTGATTCATTACACCTTCAATGTACTTTACTAATTACTAGTCATTCATAGTTTAGTATTGACATTGTTTATGCAGAAACTCTTGCATGTACAAGGGTGTCAAGAAATATGAAAGATATAAAGACACCTTGAAAAAAGTATTTTTCCCCATGAAAATATTTTTTTTTTCATCACTGCAATTTTGAATACTTTTATTATAATTAAGAAAATTGCTATAGCTATTTGCACAAAAATTTAAAACTGAGTGATATTTATATATATTTTAAAATAGTTACACTGTACATAAATATAGCAAATATTTTACATGCATAAAATAAGGTATGACTATCCTCAAATTCATGTTCACCCGTACGAAATTCAGAGGCGTATTACGCCTGGATTTTTTGCAAATCCTGGCGTACA